TTGGCAAGCTAGGCAGTGTCTTGCCCACTTAGCTACATCTGATGAGATTGATGGTCAAACAAAACGCTGCTTCATCAAATGCACTGATCGACGTATGCCAGGATGGGATAAATTATGCATAGCAGAGAAAACATCTTAACGATGCTGTTTTGGGATGTAGGGTCTGGCTGTGCCTTGATAGATCACACATAATTTCAGTAGACGAATTGGGAAAAGTTACCTTTTTAAGTTCCAAGGAAGTTCCAGATGCTATTAGGGTGTGAAGCTCCTGATCAGTCTGTTGTGTCTCAGCAATACAGTCATAGTCAATTTGACTTGGGAAGGTGATTGCAGAAACACGAGAGAGAACATCAGCAGCAATATTGTCAGATCCTGGAATGTGTACAATATTTGTGGTGAACTGAGAGATGAAATCCAGCTGACGGATCTGCCGTGGAGAACACTTGTCACTTTTTTGCCTAAAAGCATAAGTGAGGGGCTTGTGGTCAGTAAACACTGTGAAATCTCTAGCTTCCAGCATATACCGAAAGTGTCGGATAGCCGAGTAGATAGCAAGGAGTTCACGGTCGTAGGCACTGTAAGACTTTTCAGATGAAGTAAGTTTTCTGGAAAAGAAAGCCAATGGCTGTAGCTCAGAGTCCACAACTTGGTGAAGTGCACCTCCTATGGCATAATCAGAGGCGTCCACATGAAGAGCAAGCGGGGCAGAAGGTGAAGGATGAGCAAGAAGTGCAGCATCAGCAAGAGCTTGTTTACACCTTTGAAATGCTGTAATTGCCTCAGAAGACCAGTTTAAAGGCTTTGAGTCCTTCTTACCTTTAGAACCTTTTAAAAATTCACTTAAAAGATACTGTTGTTCAGCTGCTCTGGGCAAGAAACGTCTATAAAAATTTAACAGTCCTAAAAATTTTCTCAGAGAGCCAACAGTCTCTGGTTGTTTATAATCAAGAACTGCTTGAACTTTGTCAGGCAATGGCTTAATGCCATCAGGAGTGATAAGGTGGCCAAGAAAAATGAGTTCAGTCACACCAAATACACATTTAGAGATATTTAGTTTTAAACCATATGAGCTCAGTCTTTGGAATATAGTTCTTAAGTGAGAACGATGCTCCTCAGCATTTTCTGAGTAACACAAAATAACATCCAAGTAGACAAAACAAAAAGGAAGTCCTCTTAGTACTTCATGCATGAATCGCATAAAAGTTTGTGTTGCATTCACAAGGCCAAAACACAAATGGGTATATTCGTAAAGACCCCATGGAGTTTTTACAGCTGTCTTAGGAATATCACACTCAGCTATAGGGATTTGGTGGAATGCCTTAAAAATGTCTATTTTGGAAAATATCTTCTTGCCATGTAGTGCATGAGCAAAGTCATTCAAATAAGGCATGGGGTAGCTGTCGAACTCAGTAACAGAATTCAGCTGCCTGTAATCCCCAGCAGGTCTAACTGTAGAGTCAGATTTGGGCACAACATGAAGAGGAGAACTCCAGGGACTTTTGGAAGGTCTAATAATGCCTTGAGCAAGAAGAAATTCAAATTCTACCTTCACTGCATCATACAGTTTAGGGTGTAGCCTTCTAGGCCTGGCAGTGACTGGTAGGCCAGTAATAATAATATGGTGGACTGTGCCATGTGATGCTGATTTGGAAATTAAAGAAGGGTTGCTGAGGTCTGGATATTCCGATAAGATGTTTTTAAAACTAATGTTTGCATCTACAGTGAGGATTGAGGGCTGTACAATATTTGAAAAAACACAAGAAGTGAAGAGAGAAGTTTCCACATCCACCAACCTTTTTTTTCTTAAGGTCGATTAAAAGGTTGAAGTGCTTTAGAAAATCAGCACCAATTATAGGAGATGATACATCAGCAATTATGAAAGTCTAGATAAAAGGTCGCCTCAGACCCAGGTTCAGTTCTTTACGGACCATACCATAGGCTGGAATTTTGGTATTATTAGCAGCAAATAAGGAGAAGTTAGACTGAGGTGATTTATTCATAGTTGGAGAAGGTGGGATGACACAGATTTCACTTCCAGAGTCTATGAGGAATTTCTGGCCAGACTTGCGGTCTAATAAAAATAACCGGCTGGTATGTTTCGAGGGCTCTGCCATTCCAGCAGCTATGACAGAGCTTACTCGTTTTTGCACAAATGCACAAGGTGGAACACACTTGCGGGCCTGCTCTTTATAACGGCGATGATAGTAGCAGATGCCACTTCCTCTATTGACACTCCTAGAGCGTGAATGTGATCTCCGGCGGTCAGAACTATATCGTTGGTGGCGAGAGGAATTGCGCTCTCTTGTCATTTCAGCAACTTGTAGAGACAGCTCTTTGATCTGCCTGGCGAGAGAGTCCATGGTTGGCTGAGCACTGCATGAAGATGACTGGGATGGTGGAGGAACAGTTGTGGCAGCACAGATAGTTGAGGATGAACCAACAACCTCAGAAACCTTATCAGCGATGATAGCCAGTTTATCCAAATGCTCTGAGGATGCAGATAAAACAGTCTGGATATGTGGTGGCATTCTTTGAAGCCACAAACTTTGCAGAAAGTCATCCTGGAGTTGGCCATTAGACAGCTCTTTCATTTTTCGCAAGAGGTGGCTGGGCTTCTCATCTCCTAGCTGAAGGTCAGTAAGCAGTTGCTTAATTTTTTGAGTCTCCGAGTCGCTAAATTGGGTGATGAGCCGCTGCGAGAGAGTGTGATATTTGTCACTGTTCGGAGAGCTTAACACAATGTCCGACACGTAGGAGAGAGTTTCAGCATCCAGGTTCGCAACCAAAGCAGAATACTTTGTTTCATCACTGGAGATACCACTGAATGTGAATGCATGGTCGCATTGCGCAATCCATAGACGAACGTTGGATTTCCAAAACGGCGGCAGCCGCAACGCAATACGAGCGACTTCAACGGTTTCACTAGTCATATTGCTGAATAAGCAGGAAGCGAAACGAATCTCCGAGCAGATGCTTCAAGTGGCCTTGAGGAGAAGGAGAAAAAAATCTTTCGCTACGTACTGATCATCCGTAGTAGAAGAATTTGTATTGCATTCGCCAGTAGAACAGAATAGCTTACGTGTTTTTAAGTCCAAAAGGGGTCACCACTGCCGCGTTGCGTGGTTAGGCATTCTTCACTACAACACGGTTGAATTAAATAACAATAACATTTATTAACTTTAAAGATTAAATGAGCAATTAAGAGGTAAGCTTTCAAGAACTACAACACATGGAACCAGGCACGCTACAATAATAACAGATTAATTCAGTTCAGTTTTGGAGTCGTTAAGTTGAGTTGTAAGGTCGCTGCAAAGGTAATGTTAGCGAATGAGTAAACTCGCTCTGACAAAGAATTAAAATCTCTACTAAACACAAAAGAACCCCCCATACACACTTCTTTCTTTTATTTTAACAATTGATTTTTAGAGAAAATAGCCTACAGCTTCCTTCAGACAAAATAAAAATTTAATTGCAATCATTTCCTGAAAGAAAAAAGAGAAAATTGTGATATCTCGAAACGAACGGCTTGAACTACAACTAGGGCCGAACAAATAAACAGAATACAACAAAGGATGATTTTATTTTAAAAGAAATTTAATGAACCACACATCCAGAATTTAAAATAAAACTAGGTAAGCAACGAAAAATTTGAATAAAAATAAAGTAGGCAGAAGCGAATTATCGATAGGCTTAAGGAGAAAAAAATCACAAGTGTACTTAATAATAGAAATACAAAAAAAAGAACTAATTATTACAATGATTTCAAAAATTTAGAGGTTTCATTTGCATTTTTCAAGGAATGTTCACAAATAATAGTAGTGTTAAACAAAAAGATTTCAAATATATAAGTTGAAAAAGTTAAACTGCTATAGTATTATAGAAAAATAAGAGAAAAAATGAAAGAAATACAGCAGAATGTATTGAGATTTTTTTCAAAAATAGCATAGGAAGCACTAAGATCTTTCTTGATATATCTTTTAAGAAAAAGCAACATCAAAATGATTAAATAAACGTCCATTAATCTACATTATCCACTCGAAAAACCGTGGTGCAGTTGCGACTGACTATTTAGTTGCATGTGAAGTCGATTTATAACACACTTATTACGAATCAAAACGAAATATTCCCGCCTGTCACGCGGGAGACCGGGGTTCGATTCCCCGCCGGGGAGTAATTTTTTTGCGTATTTAAATTCACAGATACATTTTAAGTACTCGTACGACGAGGCAAAGAAAATAATCAACTCTTTGGCAGATGTGCCGAAATAGCTCAGTTGGGAGAGCGTTAGACTGAAGATCTAAAGGTCCCTGGTTCAATCCCGGGTTTCGGCAGACTCTAGCATCCTCGGTAGTATAGTGGTCAGTATCCCCGCCTGTCACGCGGGAGACCGGTTCGATTCCCCGCCGGGGAGTAATTTTTTTTGCGTATTTAAATTCACAGATACATTTTAAGTACTCGTACGACGAGGCAAAGAAAATAATCAACTCTTTGGCAGATGTGCCGAAATAGCTCAGTTGGGAGAGCGTTAGACTGAAGATCTAAAGGTCCCTGGTTCAATCCCGGGTTTCGGCAGACTCTAGCATCCTCGGTAGTATAGTGGTCAGTATCCCCGCCTGTCACGCGGGAGACCGGGGTTCGATTCCCCGCCGGGGAGTAATTTTTTTGCGTATTTAAATTCACAGATACATTTTAAGTACTCGTACGACGAGGCAAAGAAAATAATCAACTCTTTGGCAGATGTGCCGAAATAGCTCAGTTGGGAGAGCGTTAGACTGAAGATCTAAAGGTCCCTGGTTCAATCCCGGGTTTCGGCAGACTCTAGCATCCTCGGTAGTATAGTGGTCAGTATCCCCGCCTGTCACGCGGGAGACCGGGGTTCGATTCCCCGCCGGGGAGTATTTATTTTTTTTAAGCGTATTTAAATTCACAGATACATTTTTCAATCCCGGGTACTCGTACGACGAGGCAAAGAAAATAATCAACTCTTTTAAGGCAGATGTGCCAACTCTTTGAAAAATAGCTCAGTTGGGAGAGCGTTAGACTGAAGATCTAAAGGTCCCTGGTTCAATCCCGGGTTTCGGCAGACTCTAGCATCCTCGGTAGTATAGTGGTCAGTATCCCCGCCTGTCACGCGGGAGACCGGGGTTCGATTCCCCGCCGGGGAGTAATTTTTTGCGTATTTAAATTCACAGATACATTTTAAGTACTCGTACGACGAGGCAAAGAAAATAATCAACTCTTTGGCAGATGTGCCGAAATAGCTCAGTTGGGAGAGCGTTAGACTGAAGATCTAAAGGTCCCTGGTTCAATCCCGGGTTTCGGCAGACTCTAGCATCCTCGGTAGTATAGTGGTCAGTATCCCCGTGTCACGCGGTAGACCGGGGTTCGATTCCCCGCCGGGGAGTAATTTTTTTGCGTATTTAAATTCGTCACGCGGGAGACCGGGGTTCGATTCCCCGCCGGGGAGTAATTTTTTTGCGTATTTAAATTCACAGATACATTTTAAGTACTCGTACGACGAGGCAAAGAAAATAATCAACTCTTTGGCAGATGTGCCGAAATAGCTCAGTTGGGAGAGCGTTAGACTGAAGATCTAAAGGTCCCTGGTTCAATCCCGGGTTTCGGCAGACTCTAGCATCCTCGGTAGTATAGTGGTCAGTATCCCCGCCTGTCACGCGGGAGACCGGGGTTCGATTCCCCGCCGGGGAGTAATTTTTTTGCGTATTTAAATTCACAGATACATTTTAAGTACTCGTACGACGAGGCAAAGAAAATAATCAACTCTTTGGCAGATGTGCCGAAATAGCTCAGTTGGGAGAGCGTTAGACTGAAGATCTAAAGGTCCCTGGTTCAATCCCGGGTTTCGGCAGACTCTAGCATCCTCGGTAGTATAGTGGTCAGTATCCCCGCCTGTCACGCGGGAGACCGGGGGTTCGATTCCCCGCCGGGGAGTAATTTTTTTTGCGTATTTAAATTCACAGATACATTTTAAGTACTCGTACGACGAGGCAAAGAAAATAATCAACTCTTTGGCAGATGTGCCGAAATAGCTCAGTTGGGAGAGCGTTAGACTGAAGATCTAAAGGTCCCTGGTTCAATCCCGGGTTTCGGCAGACTCTAGCATCCTCGGTAGTATAGTGGTCAGTATCCCCGCCTGTCACGCGGGAGACCGGGGTTCGATTCCCCGCCGGGGAGTAATTTTTTTTGCGTATTTAAATTCACAGATACATTTTAAGTACTCGTACGACGAGGCAAAGAAAATAATCAACTCTTTGGCAGATGTGCCGAAATAGCTCAGTTGGGAGAGCGTTAGACTGAAGATCTAAAGGTCCCTGGTTCAATCCCGGGTTTCGGCAGACTCTAGCATCCTCGGTAGTATAGTGGTCAGTATCCCCGCCTGTCACGCGGGAGACCGGGGTTCGATTCCCCGCCGGGGAGTAATTTTTTTGCGTATTTAAATTCACAGATACATTTTAAGTACTCGTACGACGAGGCAAAGAAAATAATCAACTCTTTGGCAGATGTGCCGAAATAGCTCAGTTGGGAGAGCGTTAGACTGAAGATCTAAAGGTCCCTGGTTCAATCCCGGGTTTCGGCAGACTCTAGCATCCTCGGTAGTATAGTGGTCAGTATCCCCGCCTGTCACGCGGGAGACCGGGGTTCGATTCCCCGCCGGGGAGTAATTTTTTTGCGTATTTAAATTCACAGATACATTTTAAGTACTCGTACGACGAGGCAAAGAAAATAATCAACTCTTTGGCAGATGTGCCGAAATAGCTCAGTTGGGAGAGCGTTAGACTGAAGATCTAAAGGTCCCTGGTTCAATCCCGGGTTTCGGCAGACTCTAGCATCCTCGGTAGTATAGTGGTCAGTATCCCCGCCTGTCACGCGGGAGACCGGGGTTCGATTCCCCGCCGGGGAGTAATTTTTTGCGTATTTAAATTCACAGATACATTTTAAGTACTCGTACGACGAGGCAAAGAAAATAATCAACTCTTTGGCAGATGTGCCGAAATAGCTCAGTTGGGAGAGCGTTAGACTGAAGATCTAAAGGTCCCTGGTTCAATCCCGGGTTTCGGCAGACTCTAGCATCCTCGGTAGTATAGTGGTCAGTATCCCCGCCTGTCACGCGGGAGACCGGGGTTCGATTCCCCGCCGGGGAGTAATTTTTTTGCGTATTTAAATTCACAGATACATTTTAAGTACTCGTACGACGAGGCAAAGAAAATAATCAACTCTTTGGCAGATGTGCCGAAATAGCTCAGTTGGGAGAGCGTTAGACTGAAGATCTAAAGGTCCCTGGTTCAATCCCGGGTTTCGGCAGACTCTAGCATCCTCGGTAGTATAGTGGTCAGTATCCCCGCCTGTCACGCGGGAGACCGGGGTTCGATTCCCCGCCGGGGAGTAATTTTTTTTGCGTATTTAAATTCACAGATACATTTTAAGTACTCGTACGACGAGGCAAAGAAAATAATCAACTCTTTGGCAGATGTGCCGAAATAGCTCAGTTGGGAGAGCGTTAGACTGAAGATCTAAAGGTCCCTGGTTCAATCCCGGGTTTCGGCAGACTCTAGCATCCTCGGTAGTATAGTGGTCAGTATCCCCGCCTGTCACGCGGGAGACCGGGGTTCGATTCCCCGCCGGGGAGTAATTTTTTTTGCGTATTTAAATTCACAGATACATTTTAAGTACTCGTACGACGAGGCAAAGAAAATAATCAACTCTTTGGCAGATGTGCCGAAATAGCTCAGTTGGGAGAGCGTTAGACTGAAGATCTAAAGGTCCCTGGTTCAATCCCGGGTTTCGGCAGACTCTAGCATCCTCGGTAGTATAGTGGTCAGTATCCCCGCCTGTCACGCGGGAGACCGGGGTTCGATTCCCCGCCGGGGAGTAATTTTTTTGCGTATTTAAATTCACAGATACATTTTAAGTACTCGTACGACGAGGCAAAGAAAATAATCAACTCTTTGGCAGATGTGCCGAAATAGCTCAGTTGGGAGAGCGTTAGACTGAAGATCTAAAGGTCCCTGGTTCAATCCCGGGTTTCGGCAGACTCTAGCATCCTCGGTAGTATAGTGGTCAGTATCCCCGCCTGTCACGCGGGAGACCGGGGTTCGATTCCCCGCCGGGGAGTAATTTTTTTTGCGTATTTAAATTCACAGATACATTTTAAGTACTCGTACGACGAGGCAAAGAAAATAATCAACTCTTTGGCAGATGTGCCGAAATAGCTCAGTTGGGAGAGCGTTAGACTGAAGATCTAAAGGTCCCTGGTTCAATCCCGGGTTTCGGCAGACTCTAGCATCCTCGGTAGTATAGTGGTCAGTATCCCCGCCTGTCACGCGGGAGACCGGGGTTCGATTCCCCGCCGGGGAGTAATTTTTTTTTTAAATTTAAATTCACAGATACATTTTAAGTACTCGTACGACGAGGCAAAGAAAATAATCAACTCTTTGGCAGATGTGCCGAAATAGCTCAGTTGGGAGAGCGTTAGACTGAAGATCTAAAGGTCCCTGGTTCAATCCCGGGTTTCGGCAGACTCTAGCATCCTCGGTAGTATAGTGGTCAGTATCCCCGCCTGTCACGCGGGAGACCGGGGTTCGATTCCCCGCCGGGGAGTAATTTTTTTTTGCGTATTTAAATTCACAGATACATTTTAAGTACTCGTACGACGAGGCAAAGAAAATAATCAACTCTTTGGCAGATGTGCCGAAATAGCTCAGTTGGGAGAGCGTTAGACTGAAGATCTAAAGGTCCCTGGTTCAATCCCGGGTTTCGGCAGACTCTAGCATCCTCGGTAGTATAGTGGTCAGTATCCCCGCCTGTCACGCGGGAGACCGGGGTTCGATTCCCCGCCGGGGAGTAATTTTTTTTGCGTATTTAAATTCACAGATACATTTTAAGTACTCGTACGACGAGTACTCGTACGAGGCAAAGAAAATAATCAACTCTTTGGCAGATGTGCCGAAATAGCTCAGTTGGGAGAGCGTTAGACTGAAGATCTAAAGGTCCCTGGTTCAATCCCGGGTTTCGGCAGACTCTAGCATCCTCGGTAGTATAGTGGTCAGTATCCCCGCCTGTCACGCGGGAGACCGGGGTTCGATTCCCCGCCGGGGAGTAATTTTTTTTTGCGTATTTAAATTCACAGATTATTTTAAATTCACAGATACATTTTAAGTACTCGTACGACGAGGCAAAGAAAATAATCAACTCTTTGGCAGATGTGCCGAAATAGCTCAGTTGGGAGAGCGTTAGACTGAAGATCTAAAGGTCCCTGGTTCAATCCCGGGTTTCGGCAGACTCTAGCATCCTCGGTAGTATAGTGGTCAGTATCCCCGCCTGTCACGCGGGAGACCGGGGTTCGATTCCCCGCCGGGGAGTAATTTTTTTGCGTATTTAAATTCACAGATACATTTTAAGTACTCGTACGACGAGGCAAAGAAAAAAATAATCAACTCTTTGGCAGATGTGCCGAAATAGCTCAGTTGGGAGAGCGTTAGACTGAAGATCTAAAGGTCCCTGGTTCAATCCCGGGTTTCGGCAGACTCTAGCATCCTCGGTAGTATAGTGGTCAGTATCCCCGCCTGTCACGCGGGAGACCGGGGTTCGATTCCCCGCCGGGGAGTAATTTTTTTTGCGTATTTAAATTCACAGATACATTTTAAGTACTCGTACGACGAGGCAAAGAAAATAATCAACTCTTTGGCAGATGTGCCGAAATAGCTCAGTTGGGAGAGCGTTAGACTGAAGATCTAAAGGTCCCTGGTTCAATCCCGGGTTTCGGCAGACTCTAGCATCCTCGGTAGTATAGTGGTCAGTATCCCCGCCTGTCACGCGGGAGACCGGGGTTCGATTCCCCGCCGGGGAGTAATTTTTTTTGCGTATTTAAATTCACAGATACATTTTAAGTACTCGTACGACGAGGCAAAGAAAATAATCAACTCTTTGCAGATGTGCCGAAATAGCTCAGTTGGGAGAGCGTTAGACTGAAGATCTAAAGGTCCCTGGTTCAATCCCGGGTTTCGGCAGACTCTAGCATCCTCGGTAGTATAGTGGTCAGTATCCCCGCCTGTCACGCGGGAG